GATGTCACTGCACATCGAACAGCCCCCCTTATTAATAATAATGAGCAGGTGATGGTTGATATTTTCCCAATAATATTACATTTATCAGATATATAATATAGATCTGCAGTTTTTATTGAGATATAGAGTGAAAAAGTTAAGGCAAATTTTACTCAAAAACGACAGTGGTAAGTATGCCATTTTTTTCGGTCCCAAATTTTTCACAATATTTCCTGATATTCTATTAATAGTACATATAGCAGGTGTACGATATAGATCTGCAGTTTTTTTTTAAACAGTCACAATTTTTAAGCCGAATTTACTCTAAAATGATAGTAGATGGCATGCAATTTTTACACCAATTTTACTCAAAAACGACTGGTTAGTTCGTATGCCATTTTTTTCGGTCCCAATTTTTCTGAAATTTCTCCTGAAATTCTCCCATTAACAGTACAGTTAGCAGGTGTACAATATAGATCTGCAGTTTTTATTTTTTAAACAACATTTCTACTCCAACCTTACTGAAAAATTACAGTGGTTAGTATGCCATTTTTTTCGGTCCCAAATTTTTCGCAATATTTCCTAATATTCTCCCATTAATAGTACATTTAGCAGATATACAATATAGATCTGCAGTTTTAATTGAAAAATAAAGTGAAAATTTGTAGGCCATATTTACTCAAAAAGAAGACTGGTTCGTATGCCATTTTTTACGGTCCAATTTTTTTTCACAATTTCTCCTGATATTCGCCAACACTACTATAATCACCCAGGAATGTCTGTCCTTAACGCTCATGACGTCACTCCACATCGACGAGCCCTCCTCATTAATATTCATGAGCAGGTGCCGTGCTCCAAATGGACACCCATACCCCCACCCCTAATTAACAATCATGAGCGGGTGAAGTCAACAATATAGAGTACTCCCCCCCTCACTAATTATCACGCGCAAGTGACATCACTGCACATCGAACAGCCCCCCCTTATTAATAATAATGAGCAGGTGATATTTTCCCATTAATAGTAAATTTATCAGATATATAATATGATCTGCAGTTTTTATTGAGATATAGAGTGAAAAAGTTAAGGTAAATTTTACTCAAAAACGACAGTGGTAAGTATGCCATTTTTTTCAGTCCCAAATTTTTCACAATATTTCCTGATATTCTATTAATAGTACATATAGCAGGTGTACAATATAGATCTGCAGTTTTTTTAAACAGTCACAATTTTCATGCCAAATTTACTCTAAAATGATAGTAGATGGCATGCAATTTTTACACCAATTTTACTCAAAAACGACTGGTTAGTTCGTATGCCATTTTTTTCGGCCCCAATTTTTCTGAAATTTCTCCTGATATTCTCCCATTAATAGTACAGTTAGCAGTTGTACAATACAGATCTGCAGTTTTAATTTTTAAAACAACATTTTTACTCCAATCTTACTGAAAAATGACAGTGGTTAGTATGCCATTTTTTTTGGTCCCAAATTTTTCGCAATATTTCCTAATATTCTCCCATTAATAGTAAATTTAGCAGATATACAATATAGATCTGCAGTTTTAATTGAAAAATAAAGTGAAAATTTGTAGGCCATATTTACTAAAAAAAAAGACTGGTTAGTATGCCATTTTTTCAGTCCAAAATTTTTCGCAATTTCTCCTGATATTCTCCCATTAATAGTATAGTTAGCAAGTGTACAATATAGATCTGGAGGTTTTTTTTAAACAACATTTTTACGCCAATTTTACTGAAAAATTACAGTGGTTTGTATGCCATTTTTTTCAGTCCAAAATTTTTCGCAATTTCTCCTGATATTCGCCAATATACCTACTATAATCACCCAGGAATGTCTGTCCTTAACGCTCATGACGTCACTCCACATCGACGAGCCCCCCTCATTAATAATCATGAGCAGGTGCCGTCCTCCAAATGGACACCCCCCACCCCTCCTCATGAATAATCATGAGCGGGTGACGTCAATCAATATGGAGCACTCCCCCCCATCACTAATTATCATGCGCAAGTGACGTCACTCCACATCGAACAGCCCCCTTCATCAATAATAATGAGCGGGTGACGGGTGATATTTTCCCATTAATAGTACATTTATCAGATATATAATATAGATCTGCTGTTTCAATTGAAATGTAAAGTGAAAAAGTTTAGGCCAATTTTACTCAAAAACGACAGTGGTTAGTATGCCATTTTTTTCAGTCCAAATGTTTCTGAAACATTTCCTGATATTATCCCATTAATATTACATGTATCAGGTGTACAATATACATCTGAAGTTTTTTAGACTAAATTTTACACCAATTTAACTGAAAAATAACACTGGTTAGTATGCAATTTTTAGGCCAATTTTACTAAAAGATGACAGTGGTTAGTATGCCATTTTTTTCAGTCTCAAATTTTTCGCAATATTTCCTGATATTCTCCCATTAATAGTACATTTAGCAGATATACAATATAGATCTGCAGTTTTTATTGAAAAATATAGTGAAAATATTTAGGCCAATTTTACTCAAAAACGACTGGTTAGTTAGTATGCCATTTCTTTCGGTTCCAAATGTTTTCGCAATATTTTCTGATATTCTATTAATAGTACAAATTAGCAGGTGTACAATAGACATCTGCAGTTTTTTAAAACAGTCAATTTTTACGCCAAATTTACTAAAAAATGACAGTAGAGAGTATGCAAATTTGACTGAAAAACGACTCGTTAGTTATGTGCCAGTTTTTTCGGTCCCAAATGATTTCGCAATATTTTCTGATATTCTATTAGTAGTACAATATAGATCTGCAGTTTTTTAAAAACTACATTTTATCGCCAATTTTATTGAAAAATGACAGTGGTTGGTATGCAGTTTTTACGCCAATTTTACTCAAAACGACAGTAGTTGGGATGCCATTTTTTCGGTGTTGAAGGCCCGCTGGCAGGAGCCCATGGAACAGACCCAGGTGCCATTTGTTGATTTTTAGCCGTTTGGTTGTTGTAAGCGTCGCTCCTCTGCCCTCTGTTGTTGCTGGAGGGCGACTGCCCCCAACTCCTCAGCAGCGTCCTTCACTAACCGCTTCCATAGAAGACAATCTTTACACTGCTGGTAGCAGTCATCGACAAGTCCACTCAGCTCCACATCTTCCTGTATGACATCGTTCCATCTCTTCTCTAGCCCGTGCCGCTGCCGTTTAACCCCCTCTATCCGGTCAAACAGAAGCGTTTGGACATGTGGTGGGTGGGCATGCGTGCTACATCACCCAGCCAACGCTGGCATGATAGGACTGTGTCCAGATTTTTCAAGGATCTGTGAACATACAATCCAGTCTGGCTAAAACCAGGCAAGCCTGAATATTTTAAATCGGCGCAGACATTCATTTAGAGGGCTCCACGTTTCGCAAGCATACAGAAGGACATGGATGGCCGGGAAGACCCGGAGCTTTAGAAAGACAATGCCGCTCGACTGATTCGGAGCGAGACCTCGGCTGCCAGACCGAAGCTGGTCATCAGCACACTGCCAAAGTTCGGACCACTTCTCGACCCGCTCCACAACTGCCCCGTTGATGTCACAACCATCAGCAGCAGCAGCATCATCACGGGAACAGCAGGGGGCGATAGCAGTGCAGTGCGTGCTCGTCGTGGTTCGTGAGCGGGTGGGTGCCTCGCAAACAGCAACTTACCCCCAACAGTCTGGTGAAGCCTAACCGGGGTAACTCTTTGTCTTTGTGGATGCGGTGGGAGGAGAACGAGGCATGTCGGATGAGAAGCGATGCCCCCACCGTCACCATCAGTCCTCTTCTTCCACATCGTTATCTTAACTTCTCTCGCAAGCTAAGCAGTGACTGAGCCTGGATAGCTCTAGAATGGGTGACCACCACCGTGGCCAATGCACAGGTGCAAGACGCACTGCGGGCAGTCGAGGGCAGTGCAGCAAATCTCAATGTTGTTCTGCGCTTCTCGCCCGCCTCCCCACCATCAGCGACACGCACTGACCGGCGTGGTGATGTGTGGTCAAATAGCCCTCGTCCAGCAGTGAATGGACAAAACACGGTGTGTATGCGACGCTGTATATATATAGAGGTATGCGTCCACGTGTATTCGCGGTTGTGTGTACAGGTGCAGGAAGGGCAAAGATCCCCCATGTAGCCTTTAACAGACACACGCACGTTAGCGCGGTTGGCTACGTACGGTGCGCAATAAGTTCAGCATACGTACACGCAGCACACACGCTGAAACAGATGGACTCATCATGTTCAGTGTACCACCGGTGGATAAAACAGCATCCAGACGCGACCTATACGTCCCGCCCTCTCGGTCTGCTCAGCACCCCCCCCCCCCCCCCCCAAAGAAACATCTACATAGTATCCACGACTAGGTCACACCTGCTGCGCTCAACATCATCAGCCTCATCAGCACAGGGAGAGACAAAGGCGGTTGCAGTCAGTCGCTGTCCGCCAACGTGTCCACCACGGTCCTTTAATAGGTGCTCGCTAACAGCGCATCGAGTCTAGATGACAAGAGCCGCGCAAGTACGTATGTATGTATGCTGAACTTATTTCGCACCGCACATCGCCACACGTACTAATCGGAGGTGCGAGGCTTTGAGTTCGGCACCGTCGTGTCGAGAGGCTGTGAACGCGCCCGGATCCGGTCGGATATATCGGAAGAGCTAAGCAGGAGGGTTGCGCCTGGTTCCTACTCTCACGCGATGAGAGAGAGAGAGACACACACACTTTGTGACCGTACTGACCGGCGTGGTGTAAAAACCACGAGGTTTCATTTGCCCGCACTTCGCCACAAATCACGGCAACCGCTGCTTGAGGAACTCGCGCGGCAGGAGCGCAGAACGGAGGAGGGAGGTGGAGGAGGAGGCGAGGGGGAGCGAGGGGGAGTGGTGATCGGTCACGCCTCGATCATTGAGCGCCGAGAGAGAGGGAGAGCCAATTGTGGGGGGTGGAGCAGGGATGTGTGTATGCGTGTGTGCCTGTATGTGCCTGTGTGTATGTTTGCATATATAGAGGTTGTGAGTGGGTGCGTGCCCGCGCGTGTCTGTGTTGTGTGGGAAGCCACGACAGAGCGCCGCGCGACGACTCTTCTTACCCCCACACTCTGCGAGATGCGAGCTCCGGCACCCACGCCTCCGGGACCATGAGGGGTGACACCGCTCGACCCGCGTCTCCTGCCCCGATTCTGCTCCGATTCGCGGCCGCCTGCGCCGCGCTCGGATCCGCGGCGGCTTACTTCGGGTAAGGAGGAGAGCGGCTGCACCTGTGGCACCAACCCGTAACGTGGGGAGAGAGAGAGGAGCGTGCTGGACTCCCGTGTGTGCTGCATGTGTGTGGGGCGCCACGGTGGCTAGGAGATGTTCACTCCCTCGCCTGGTACGCAGGAGGTCGTGGGTTCGAGCCCGACCCTGACTTGTGTTTATTTGAAGTTTGCGTGTCTCTCTCTTTCTGTCATCATCATCAGGGTGGCTAGGAGATGTTAACTCCTTCGCCTGGTATGCAGGAGGTCGTGGGTTCGAGCCCGACCCTGACTTATGTTTATTTGGAGTTTGCGTGTCTCTCTCTTTCTCTCATCATCATCAGGGTGGCTAGGAGATGTTAACTCCCTCGCCTGGTACGCAGGAGGTCGTGGGTTCGAGCCCGACCCTGACTTCTGTTTATTTGAAGTTTGCGTGTCTCTCTCTTCCCGTGTTCGCGTGGATTTTTCTCCGGGTCCTCCGGTTTTTTTCCTCCGCATTTAGAAAGGCGAGTTGAAATTTTTTGGCTACTCTAAAATTCTACGCGATAGACCACTTCGTTGAGCTATCATTTGTGATGGCCAGGTCGCTTCTGAAAAAGAGCTATGTAGCTCAGTGGGGCCTTTATCTGGTAAAATAAAAAAAATAGTTTAGTTCGTGGCCACGCTGACTGCAGCTGCTGAGACTGATGCGGTGGACTGAGCAATTTCATGCTGAAAGTTTAACCGACACCTCACCATCACCACTATCAGCACCATCACCGCCTCTCCCCTTCTAAATTCTTATCACCACCATCATCACCATCATCATCACCATCACCACTATCACCACCATCACCGCCTCTCCACCCTCTAAGTTCTTATCGTCAACTCGACGCGATGTTTTTCGCAGTCGGTTATCAATTTGTTTGGCTGCGTCGGGTGGTGGAGGGTCTTAACGACGCAATTTCAGTTTCTAAATTCGCGTTGTTTAACCAGCTGTGAGGAATCAAGAGGGATCCGGGATACACACCGTATAACAACCAAGTACAACAGCAATGAAAACAAATTGATACCAGCACAACAATGACAACAACGCGTCGCATGAGATTTTTTTTTTAAAACACGGTACAGCTAATTCGGTGGCGTATCATCTAAAACAAAACGCGAATTGCCATCGAATCTCCGGGTGGGGAGTCGAGTCGTGGTGTTGCTGCCACAGCTGCTGCCGAACGAACCCCTGTGTGACGCGGCGTTCGTGTGCCGCGGGGTTCGTGTGTCGCGGCGTTCGTGTGCCGCGGGGTTCGTGTGTCGCGGTGATCGTGTGCCGCGGTGATCGTGTGCCGCGGGGTTCGTGTGCCGCGGTGTTCGTGTGCCGCGGGGTTCGTGTGCCGCGGCGTTCGTGTGTCGCGGTGATCGTGTGCCGCGGCGTTCGTGTGCCGCGGGGTTCGTGTGCCGCGGTGTTCGTGAGCGAGCGCAGACCGCCCCGTGACGCCTCTGCTGCGCGTCCCACGTGCGTCTGAAGGCTGTGTCGTGTATCCCTCCACCACCGCCTCCTTACCTGAGTTTTGTTTGACCCCCCCCCGGCTTTTAAACACAGTCACACTAACAGAGCTGGACTTGTGTCTACATCAGCGGGATGATGATGAGTATGATTGATGATTGTCACGAATGCCAGCTGTCAGATTGGTCATCATCACCACCGTCCTCGCATAACGCGCGTGATCGTTATCGGCGTCGTCATCATCATAAGCATCATCATCATTCCATCTACATCACTATGCGTTAATCTACATCATCATCGTCATCATCCTCACATTATACATCGTCTGTATCAGTATCTCTCAGTATCGTCATCTGTCACGAATGGCATCATCGATAGCATATTATCATTCTATCATCATTATCATTATTCTATCTGCATCATCATTATATCTGCATAATCATCATCGTCGATAATATCTGCAATGACATATGCATCAGCGTGTCCATAATCATCATCAACATTAATGGGATCTGCATCAACCCTGCCACCACCAACCAACCACCACCACCAACCCCAACGCACTGTGGAGGCGACCATTGTCACCGTGGTAAAGGTCACAGCGCCATGCCAGCCATGCCACAACCACACGGGAGCCATCCCTCACCGACACCATCGACCGAGCACGTGCCCTGCACGTCGCCATCGTCGTCACGGGCCGCCATCCGTCGGCTTGAGCGTCACACTCCACGGGAGGCGAAGTATATAAGTATAGAATTACATACAAGTGTGGTGGCATAGCGCTGGGGAGACTCCCCCCCACAATGTGGGGCCCGGTGCGGTCGCTCCAATTCGCCGTACCAGAGGGGTACGGCTGTGGATCTTGCTGATCCTTCCCGGAGAGGGGAGGCGTGAGTGGGTGAAGTAGGCAGAGGCGAGTCCATGGGGGGGTGCGACTTTGACATTGACACGGGGTTGGATTTGACGCGAGAGGAGCGATGAGAGGATTTGGAGGAGTCTGGAACCCGCGTTCTGGGTCATTGGGAGTTCGGAGGTGAGGAATGGGTGATGAGGTGAGGGTTGTGGTGATGAGGTGAGGGGCGCGTGGGGAGGTGAGGGGTGTGGTGATGAGGTGAGGGGTGCGTGGGGAAGTGAGGGGTGTGGTGACGAGGTGAGGGATGTGGTGACGAGGTGTGGTGATGAGGTGAGGGATGTGTGGGGAAGTGAGGGGTGTGGTGACGAGGTGAGGGATGTGGTGAGGGGTGTGGTGATGAGGTGAGAGATGTGGTGATGAGGTGAGGGGTGTGGTGACGAGGTGAGGAGGAGCGACCGCGTGCCGGGTGGGCCACGAGACGAGGCGAGGGACAGCAGCGTGAGCCCGGGGATCAACAACAACGACGAGAACAACATCAATATTCCCCTCGATCATCATCATCATTACCACTACGACACGACATCCCCCACTAAGTGACGGTGGCGTCGCCACAGCGCTTGTGCCAGGCTAGGTGCACTTCTCTGAAGCTATCATTTGTAGGTGTGGAAGGGCAGGTGACAAGAGAGCACGGGACATCGTCAGGGGTTATGGGTTGACGGATGATTTGGCTGGTGCACCACCACCACTTTCCATCTTCATCGCAATCCACACTCACCCAGCCACTCACTCATCAACTCACTCACCCACGCACCCTCTCTCCCACCCCACTCACCCACGCACCCTCTCTCCCACCCCACTCACCCACGCACCCTCTCTCCCACCCCACTCACCCACGCACCCTCTCTCCCACCTCACTCACCCCCCCCAGGCTCACAGCCAAGGAGCCTCTGCTGGTCCTGGCGATCCGAGGAGGAGGAGCAGGGGACGGACCGGACTCGACCGGCGGCGTTGGAGGAGGCGGCTCCGGCTCCTCGTGGAGCTCGTGGAGCTACTGGGGGCAGTGGCACTCGGCGGCTGCGCCTCTCGGCGGCGCGCGGCAGCCCGCGCGGAGCCGCTCGCACCTGAAGCTGTGCGACGGCCTCAAGCTGCAGCGCAAGCAGCGTCGCCTGTGCCGCCGTGACCCGGGCCTCGGGCCCGCGCTGCTGGAGGCCAGCGGCCTGGGCGCGGCCGAGTGCCAGGCGCAGTTCCGCGCCGAGCGATGGAACTGTAGCCTGGAGGCACCGCACCGCGCCAACATCCTCAAGCGAGGTGCGTCGGGGTTGGGGGGGGCCCAGGGCGAAATGAACGTGGAGTGATGGTGCTGGGTGATTGAGGTGTTGGTCGTGGGTGATAGTTGATGATGATGTTGGTGGGTGATGGTGCTGGGTGATTGAGGTGTTTGTCGTGGGTAATGGTTGATGATGATAATGATGTTGGTGGGTGATGGTGCTGGGTGATTGAGGTGTTGGTCGTGGGTGATGGTTGATGATGATGATGTTGGTGGGTGATGGTGCTGGGTGATTGAGGTGTTTGTCGTGGGTGATGGTTGATGATGATGATGTTGGTGGGTGATGGTGCTGGGTGATTGAGGTGTTGGTCGTGGGTGATGGTTGATGATGATGATGTTGGTGGGTGATGGTGCTGGGTGATTGAGGTGTTGGTCGTGGGTGATGGTTGATGATGATGATGTTGGTGGGTAATGGTGCTGGGTGATTGAGGTGTTTGTCGTGGGTGATGGTTGATGATGATGATGTTGGTGGGTGATAGTGCTGGGTGATTGAGGTGTTTGTCGTGGGTGATGGTTGATGATGATGATGTTGGTGGGTGATGGTGCTGGGTGATTGAGGTGTTGGTCGTGGGTGATGGTTGATGATGTTGGTGGGTGATGGTAACTGGGTGATTGAGGTGTTTGTCGTGGGTGATGGTTGATGATGATGTTGGTGGGTGATGGGTCATTGAGGTGTTGGTCGTGGGTGATGGTTGATGATGATGATGTTGGTGGGTGATGGTGCTGGGTCATTGAGGTGTTGGTCGTGGGTGATGGTTGATGATGATGTTGGTGGGTGATGGTGCTGGGTGATTGAGGTGTTGGTCGTGGGTGATGGTTGATGATGATGATGATGTTGGTGGGTGATGGTGCTGGGTGATTGAGGTGTTGGTCGTGGGTGATGGTTGATGATGATGATGTTGGTGGGTGATGGTGCTGGCTGATTGAGGTGTTGGTCGTGGGTGATGGTTGATGATGATGTTGGTGGGTGATGGTGCTGGGTGATTGAGGTGTTTGTCGTGGGTGATGGTTGATGATGATGATGTTGGTGGGTGATGGTGCTGGGTGATTGACGTGTTTATCATGGGTGATGGTTGATGATGATGTTGGTGGGTGATGGTGCTGGGTGATTGAGGTGTTGGTCGTGGGTGATGGTTGATGATGATGATGTTGGTGGGTGACGGTGCTGGGTGATTGAGGTGTTTATCGTGGGTGATGGTTAATGATGATGTTGCTGGGTGATTGAGGCGTTTGTCGTGGGTGATGGTTGATGATGATGATGTTGGTGGGTGATGGTGCTGGGTGATTGAGGTGTTTGTCATGGGTGATGGTTGATGATGATGATGATGATGTTGGTGGGTGATGGTGCTGGGTGATTGAGATGTTGGTCGTGGGTTATGGTTGATGATGATGATGTTGGTGGGTGATGGTGCTGGGTGATTGAGGTGTTGGTCGTGGGTGATGGTTGATGATGATGATGTTGGTGGGTGATGGTGCTGGGTGATTGAGGTGTTTGTCGTGGGTGATGGTTGATGATGATGATGATGTTGGTGGGTGATGGTGCTGGGTGTTTGAGGTGTTTGTCGTGGGTGATGGTTGATGATGATGATGATGTTGGTGGGTGATGGTGCTGGGTGATTGAGGTGTTGGTCGTGGGTGATGGTTGATGATGATGATGTTGGTGGGTGATGGTGCTGGGTGATTGAGGTGTTTGTCGTGGGTGATGGTTGATGATGATGTTGGTGGGTGATGGTGCTGGGTGATTGAGGTGTTGGTCGTGGGTGATGGTTGATGATGTTGGTGGGTGATGGTGCTGGGTGATTGAGGTGTTGGTCGTGGGTGATGGGTGATGATGATGATGTTGGTGGGTGATGATGCTGGGTGATTGAGGTGTTTGTCGTTGGTGATGGTTGATGATGATGATGTTGGCGGGTGATGGTGCTGGGTGAATGAGGTGTTTGTCGTGGGTGATGGTTGATGATGATGATGATGTTGGTGTGTGATGGTGCTGGGTGATTGAGGTCTTTGTCGTGGGTGATGGTTGATGATGATGATGTTGGTGTGTGATGGTGCTGGGTGATTGAGGTGTTGGTCGTGGGTGATGGTTGATGATGATGATGTTGGTGGGTGATGGTGCTGGGTGATTGAGGTGTTGGTCGTGGGTGATGGTTGATGATGATGATGTTGGTGGGTGATGGTGCTGGGTGATTGAGGTCTTTGTCGTGGGTGATGGTTGATGATGATGATGTTTGTGGGTGATGGTGCTGGGTGATTGAGGTGTTTGTCGTGGGTGATGGTTGATGATGATGATGTTGGTGGGTGATGGTGCTGGGTGATTGAGGTGTTTGTCGTGGGTGATGGTTGATGATGATGATGTTGGTGGGTGATGGTGCTGGGTGATTGAGCTGTTGGTCGTGGGTGATGGTTGATGATGATGATGTTGGTGGGTGATGGTGCTGGGTGATTGAGGTGTTGGTCGTGGGTAATGGTTGATGATGATGATGATGTTGGTGGGTGATGGTGCTGGGTGATTGAGGTGTTGGTCGTGGGTGATGGTTGATGATGATGATGTTGGTGGGTGATGGTGCTGGGTGATTGAGGTGTTGGTCGTGGGTGATGGTTGATGATGATGATGTTGGTTGGTGATGATGCTGGGTGATTGAGGTGTTTGTCGTGGGTGATGGTTGATGATGATGATGTTGGTGGGTGATGGTGCTGGGTGATTGAGGTGTTTGTCGTGGGTGATGGTTGATGATGATGATGTTGGTGTGTGATGGTGCTGGGTGATTGAGGTCTTTGTCGTGGGTGATGGTTGATGATGATGTTGGTGTGTGATGGTGCTGGGTGATTGAGGTGTTGGTCGTGGGTGATGGTTGACGATGATGATGTTGGTGGGTGATGGTGCTGGGTGATTGAGGTGTTGGTCGTGGGTGATGGTTGATGATGATGTTGGTGGGTGATGGTGCTGGGTGATTGAGGTCTTTGTCGTGGGTGATGGTTGATGATGATGATGATGTTGGTGGGTGATGGTGCTGGGTGATTGAGATGTTTGTCGTGGGTGATGGTTGATGATGATGATGTTGGTGGGTGATGGTGCTGGGTGATTGAGGTGTTGGTCGTGGGTGATGGTTGATGATGATGTTGGTGGGTGATGGTGGAACCGATGATGGTGAGGGTGATGGTGCTGGGTGATTGAGGTGTTTGTCGTGGGTGATGGTTGATGATGATGATGTTGGTGGGTGATGGTGCTGGGTGATTGACGTGTTTGTCGTGGGTGATGGTTGATGATGATGTTGGTGGGTGATGGTGCTGGGTGATTGAGGTGTTGGTCGTGGGTGATGGTTGATGATGATGATGATGATGTTGGTGGGTGATGGTGCTGGGTGATTGAGGTGTTGGTCGTGGGTGATGGTTGATGATGATGATGTTGGTTGGTGATGATGCTGGGTGATTGAGGTGTTTGTCGTGGGTGATGGTTGATGATGATGATGTTGGTGGGTGATGGTGCTGGGTGATTGAGGTGTTTGTCGTGGGTGATGGTTGATGATGTTGGTGTGTGATGGTGCTGGGTGATTGAGGTCTTTGTCGTGGGTGATGGTTGATGATGATGTTGGTGTGTGATGGTGCTGGGTGATTGAGGTGTTGGTCGTGGGTGATGGTTGACGATGATGATGTTGGTGGGTGATGGTGCTGGGTGATTGAGGTGTTGGTCGTGGGTGATGGTTGATGATGATGTTGGTGGGTGATGGTGCTGGGTGATTGAGGTCTTTGTCGTGGGTGATGGTTGATGATGATGATGATGTTGGTGGGTGATGGTGCTGGGTGATTGAGATGTTTGTCGTGGGTGATGGTTGATGATGATGATGTTGGTGGGTGATGGTGCTGGGTGATTGAGGTGTTGGTCGTGGGTGATGGTTGATGATGATGTTGGTGGGTGATGGTGGAACCGATGATGGTGAGGGTGATGGTGCTGGGTGATTGAGGTGTTTGTCGTGGGTGATGGTTGATGATGATGATGTTGGTGGGTGATGGTGCTGGGTGATTGACGTGTTTGTCGTGGGTGATGGTTGATGATGATGTTGGTGGGTGATGGTGCTGGGTGATTGAGGTGTTGGTCGTGGGTGATGGTTGATGATGATGATGATGTTGGTGGGTGATGGTGCTGGGTGATTGAGGTGTTGGTCGTGGGTGATGGTTGATGATGATGATGTTGGTGGGTGATGGTGCTGGGTGATTGAGGTGTTTGTCGTGGGTGATGGTTGATGATGATGATGTTGGTGGGTGATGGTGCTGGGTGATTGACGTGTTTATCGTGGGTGATGGTTGATAATGATGTTGGTGGGTGATGGTGCTGGGTCATTGAGGTGTTTGTCGTGGGTGATGGTTGATGATGATGATGATGTTGGTGGGTGATGGTGCTGGGTGATTGACGTGTTTATCGTGGGTGATGGTTGATAATGATGTTGGTGGGTGATGGTGCTGGGTCATTGAGGTGTTGGTCGTGGGTGATGGTTGATGATGATGATGTTGGTGGGTGATGGTGCTGGGTGACTGAGGTGTTGGTCGTGGGTGATGGTTGATGATGATGATGTTGGTGGGTGATGGTGCTGGGTGATTGAGGTCTTTGTCGTGGGTGATGGTTGATGATGATGATGTTGGTGGGTGATGGTGTTGGGTGATTGCGATGTTGGTCGTGGGTGATGGTGGAACCGATGATGGTGAGGGTGTTGGTGCTGGGTGATTGAGGTGTTTGTCGTGGGTGATGGTTGATGATGATGTTGGTGGGTGATGGTGCTGGGTGATTGAGGTGTTTGTCGTGGGTGATGGTTGATGATGATGATGTTGGTGGGTGATGGTGCTGGGTGATTGAGGTGTTTGTCGTGGGTGATGGTTGATGATGATGATGTTGGTGGGTGATGGTGCTGGGTGATTGAGGTGTTTGTCGTGGATGATGGTTGATGATGATGATGATGTTGGTGGGTGATGGTGCTGGGTGATTGAGGTGTTGGTCGTGGGTGATGGTTGATGATGATGATGTTGGTGGGTGATGGTGCTGGGTGATTGAGGTGTTTGTCGTGGGTGATGGTTGATGATGATGATGTTGGTGGGTGATGGTGCTGGGTGATTGCGATGTTGGTCGTGGGTGATGGTGGAACCGATGATGGTGAGGGTGTGACGATGGTCGGCAATGATGGTGGCGACACGGGGCGGGTGAGGTGATGGATGATGGTGGAGGATGATGGATGATGGTGGAGGGTGATGGATGATGGTGGATGATGGATGATGGTGGGCATGGTGATGGTTGGGGTGGCGGTCTTCCAATGCAGTGAGGTGGGGGGGGGGCAAGAGGTGACGATGGGAGAAGAAGTGGATCGGGGTCTGGGGGGGAGGGGGTCACGAAGAGGAACAGTTACGCGCGGTGGGGGTCCGTCTGGTAACGTGGGGGGCTGTAGGGGGGGGGGACTGAGCCCCCCCCTTACCCCTGCCCCCCTCTGCTGAACACTGAGCCACCCCTTCCAGTGTAACCACGAAGACAAAGGTCCCTCGGGTAGCCTTACCAGACTGTTTGGGGCAAGGGCTGCGAGCGAGTAGCGAGCACCGATGAAGGCCGGCACGGCACACGAGGGGGGGGGGGGGGGTGGGTGGCCGGCACCACGCACGCCTGACCGCCTTTGTCTCCCCCGTGGCGAATTTTACACACAGCACCAGGGGACCCAGTGCCGGTTCGGTTGATCGCCACAGGTCGTTGATGACAGTTACCGTGAGTGGGAATCGAACTGGGCTCGCCACGCGTAACCAACGCACGTGGCCTCGTTCCCGCACACAGCAGCTGGTGAGAGAGAGCCCAGAGATGGCGATGAGCCATAGGCAGACTCAGGTGGTCTCGTCACCAGTCCTCTACAAGCGTTTAACATTTGCTGAGAGTTTGCTTCGCATCGACTGTGCAGTGCCGCCTGCCCCCACCCGCCCCCTCCTCCCCCACCCCCCATTTAAGCAAAGTCAATGGGGGGAGGGGGGTGGTTCCCACCTCGGACTTACGAAACAAACGGGACACTTCGTGGGAAGCAATGATATTTTAACGCCACCAAAGACGTCTGAACAGCGCGGATAAGGAGGCCGCATCGCCCTAAAGCGGTGGTTTTCTTTTTGTTTGACCTACCCCTGCACCTCCCGATTAGCACGGTTGGCTAAGTACGGCGCGAAAGAAGTTCACCGTACGTACGTAGCTCGAGCAGAGCCCTCCGTTTTACCGGAGGTCTTTCCGTCAGCAAGGATTCGCAGAGGCGCATCCTTCACCTTAGCAGAAGCGGGGAGAGCTACGCAACTGACAAAACACAGTAGTAGCAGCAGTAGCAGCAGCAGCAGTAGCAGCGGTAGCTACCGGCTCAAATGGAGGACGGTCCAGGGAAAACCGGGACAGGTGGCAACCCTCTACCACGATGGGAGGACCAGTCGATCAGGGGTCTGGTGATAGCTCCTGGAGTTTAGGGGTCGGGGTGGGAGTTGTGGGGGTGGGGAATTAGGGGGCTCAGAGGCTGGGGAGTCAGGGGTCTTGGCGATTGGGGTAGTCCACCGAATCGGTGGCCCGGGGGGGGGGTCCTGAAGACAAAGAAAGGATCGGGGGTTAGGAACCGAGTCCCGTGGCAGAAGGTGGAATTTATGGGTTTGGGGATAAGGGGCCTAGAGGTAGGGACCCCGGGGGGGGGGGGGGGGGTCTTTTAATAGGTTCACCCTTAACCCTGCTCCACGATGACCACTGCTGCACACTGACCTGACCCCTCCTCCACCTCGACTCAGCTCTACCATGACCTCTACTGCTGACCTCTGCCGTACCATCACCTTTACTCCTGACCTCTGCTACACATTGACCTCTGCTTCGCTCCACAATGACCTCTAACCCTGCTCCACCTTGCCCCGCTCCCAACCCACCCCACTGCACGTGTGTTCAACTTCTTTCGCACCGTACGTACCCAACCGTGCTAATCGCCACTGCTCCCCCCCCCTCCTCTCCACCTCCCCTGCCCGGCCCGGCCCGGCCCCAGGGTTCCGCGAGACGGCCTTCCTCTTCGGCGTCTCGGCCGCGGGCCTGGCACACTCGGTGTCGCGTGCGTGCAGCGCGGGCCGCCTGGAGCGCTGCACCTGCGACGAGGCACCGCAGCTGCAGAACCGCCAGGCGTGGCAGTGGGGCGGCTGCGGTGACAACGTCAAGTACGGCCTCAAGTTCACGCGCGCCTTCCTCGAGCAGCAGAGGCGCGGCGGCGGCATGGACGTGCGTGCTCGCGTGGACGCGCACAACTCGGACGTGGGGCTCAAGGTGGGCGGAGGGTTGGGGTGGGTGGGCGGAGGGTGGGTGGTTGGCACGACATTCAAGCCCTTTGGCTTCATCGTCATCATCATCACCGTCATCATAATCAACCGTCGTCACCATCACTCCAACCACTCGACTAACATCATCGCCACCGCCATTCCACCATTATCATCATCATGACCATCACGGTTTCTACCATCATCTATTCATCACCAACACCACCCCTACCAACACCACTATCGTTCCATATTCACCACCACCACCAACAACAACTGTCATCATCACTTCTTCACTCGTATCCTCATCATCAACGCCACCGCAACTGCCACTCCGACCATCTGGAGTCGTGCGTCGGGTCGGGAAGCCCCGGGTGACCCGTGGATCGGGTTCGGAACCGACTCGAATTCGCTAACAGCGCACGAGAGGCTGGGCGGGCGGTCAGCACCACCCGCGCCCAGCCGCCTTTGTCTCCCCAACGCGGCTTGCCGGGACGGACGTGATGCGAGGTGCGGCAACTCGTCGCTCTGGCCAGCAGGCGGGGGGGGTCAAGGCACCCCCTGCCCTCCCCCGCCCCCCCCCCCCACGCTAGTTACACTACCAGGCAGCATTCTACCACCACGATCATCACTGCTTCATTGCCCCCCCCCCTCCCGTGCCCCCCAAGGTGGTGAGGAGCGGCGGTGCGCACCACGTGCAAGTGCCACGGCGTGTCGGGCTCGTGCAGCGTGCGCACCTGCTGGAGGCAGCTGGCTCCCTTCAGCGAGTCGGGCCGCCTCCTCAAGAGGGCCTACGACTCGGCGCTGAGGGTCACGGGCCTCGCCAACGGGGCCACGGCCGACGGCGGCGGCTTCCCGCGGGGACCGGCGCGGCCGCCGCCAGCGCCGTCCTCGCCGTCATCACCATCGTCATCATCGGGAGCAGCAGCAGCAGCAGCAGCAGCATCGCCGCCGTCGTCGTCGTCACCGCCGGAGATGGACCTCCTCCTGTTCTACCTGGACGATTCGCCGAGCTTCTGTCGGCCCAGTCGCTTCTCGCCGGGCACCGGGGGAAGGCCGTGCCACAGGGAGGGCAGCTGCGAGTCGCTGTGCTGCGGCCGGGGCCACAACACGCAGAGCCGCGTGACGCAGCGGCCTTGCCAGTGCCAGGTGCGGTGGTGCTGCTACGTGGAGTGCAAGCAGTGCGTGCAGAGGGAGGAGCTGTTCACCTGCAAGAACACCTGAGCGGTCGCTATTGGAGTCTCGAGGAGGGTGGCGGCGGTGGCGGTGGTGGTGGTGGAGGAGGAAGGTACAGAATCAGGAGGAAGATGGTGGAGGAGGTGGTGGAAGGTTGTGGTGGTGGCGAAGGAGAGAGTTGGTGATGGTGGCGGAAGGTTGCGGTGGTGATGGTGGCGGGAGATGGCTGCGGAGGTGGTGGATGATGGGGGATGAGGAGGAGGATGGCGACGTTTGGGGGAGTTGTGGAGAAGAGAAAAGAGAGACTCACAATTGAAACATCGCCACCTCCATCAACAACAGAAGCCGTTCTCAGAGATTCCGCCGCCCACGTTAGGACGCTCTGACTGGCGGTGGGAGCGCTGTCCGCGAGCACCTATTGCGCTTGGGACGGCACGCGAGATGAGGTGCTTGTGGACCGAACCGCACGCGTCCGGCCACCTTGGCCCTCCTTACGCCGATGTTCGGATGACCACGTCACCGCGGCACGGGTCATCGTTTTAGGCCGAGTTAACCCCGCGGATGGACACGCACACGCGAGGTTGATGCGCATTGTCACTGACGGTGGCGACGATGCCGGTTGGAGCCACGGCCAGGAATCGAACCCAGGTGGTCGGCATTAGCGCAGAACGCGATTGACTGCTACGCAACAAAGAGTAACAAAGATTCCCCGCGTAGCCTTGACAGACTTTTATGGCAAGTGCTGTTAGCGAGCACCTTTGAAGGCGGGCACGGCACGCGAGGGGGTGGATGGCCAGCACCAAACCCAGCCACCTTTGTCTCCCCATTGCTGATGTTTGCACACCGTACCCAGAGTCGACCTAGGGGAGGCCAAGCACCGTTTCAGACAATCGTCACTGATGCTGACCGTGAGTGGCATCAAACTCGGGCGGACGGGTTCGTAGCCCAATGCGCTAACCGCTGCACCACCACTCCCCCGTAGGCCCCGTGTAGCCTTGAACAGACGTTTGAAGGGGCAAGTGCTGTTAGCGAAGGCTTATTAAGCCTGGAACAACGCACGAGGGGGTGCTGTGGATGGAATAACCACGCCCGTCCCTCCGTCTTTGTCTCCCCAGTTCCGACATGCACGCGCACGCACACGTACACGCGTGCGCTCCCACACACGAACACGCACGCGTGTGTTTTATTTTCTTGAGCTGCGTTAAGATGTTAAGATTCATCTCGGCGAGAGAGTCGCTGTAATAATGACGACTTCGACGCACTTGTCTTGAGATAGTTTCTTTATTAAAGAGCCACGTGCTCACATTAGGACAGGCGGAGACCCCCACTCCAACGGCCCGTGTCTGCCGCGCATCCCCCTTATACACGGTCCGAGGCCACGCCCCCATTCCCAGAACCTTCTCGCTGGTTCTTGACAGCTCGCTCTCACAGCAGACTCCACTGCCTCTTCCGTCACCTGGCCACGCTCCTATTCTCGATCATTCTCGTAGCCACCAGTCCATTCGCACTGCAGCTTGACTCCTCTGTCATTACCTCCCGTGGCCACTAGTCCACTCGCACTACTGGCCGACTCCCCTGTCATTACCTCCCGTGGCCACTAGTCGATTCGCACTGCAGGCTGACTCCCCTGTCATTACCTCCGATGGCCACTAGTCCACTCGCACTGCAGGCTAACTCCCCTGTCATTACCTCCCGCAGCCATCAGTCCACTCGCACTGCAGGTTGACTCCACTGTCATTACAGCTGTAATAAACGAGGTTGGAGGAATTTGGCTGTAAGCGACGAGGTTAACGAACAAAGAGGAGCTTGGGGTTTAAACGACGGCGCGCCACGGCCACGCGAGATCGTGGAGTGGGGAGGGGTCACAAAGACACGCGCACAAGTTGGACACTCACGTGGACAAGACAGACACGTGGGGAGTTAGACACTCATGTGGACAAGACGGACACGTGGGGAGTTAGACACTCACGTGGACAAGACAGACACGTGGGGAGTTAGACACTCACGTGGACAAGACAGACACATGGGGAGTTAGACACTGACATGGACAAGACAGACACGTGGGGAGTTAGACACTCACGTGGACAAGACGGACACGTGGGGAGTTAGACACTCACGTGGACAAGACGGACACGTGGGGAGTTAGACACTCACGTGGACAAGACGGACACGTGGGGAGTTAGACACTCACGTGGACAAGACGGACACGTGAGGAGTTGGACACTCACGTGGACAGAAAACCGCGTGGGGAGTGAGTCAAGTGGACAGAAACGTTGAGTCGTTAATCAAATTAGATACGCAGGTGGTTAATCGGTCAATTAGGCAGACACGCAGGTAGTGAGGCAATCGAATAACCAGACACGTGGGGAGACAGATCCACTTGTCTGTCTATTTGGCCGTCTAACTCCCCACGTGTGTGACATGGAGAGTGCGACAATGATGTTTACGGATAGATACGTGGGCTGACAGACAGGCAGGCAGAGATACAGACCGGCATACAAAGACATCGGGACACGCAGACATGCAGCGAAATGTGCTGTACATATGCACACAAACAGACAACGATCCCCCCCCGTATAGCCTTAACAGACTGTAGGGGCAAGTGCTGTTAGCGACCACCTATGAAGGCCGGCACAGCGCACGAGGGGGTGGGTGGCCAACACCACGCCCGGCCGCCTTTGTATCCCGATTGGCGATGTTTACACGCCGCACCAGGTTATCATTTTGAGGCTGAGTCGACCTAGGGGAGGCACAGGACCGGTTCAGATAATCGTCACCAGTGGCCATGAGCGGGAATCGAACTCGGGTCGCCGGATTTGTAGCGCAGCGTAGCGCTAACCGCCACACCACCGCTCCCGGACACTTACAGACACACTGACACACACACTGACACACACACAACTAACACACACACACAGACACAACTAACACACACACAGACACAACTAACACACACACAGACACACTAACTAACACACAGACACAACTAACACACAGACACACTAACACAGACACACCACACACAGACACAACAACTAACAAACACCACACACAGACACAACAACTAACACACACAGACACATACACAACTAACACACACAGACACACTCACACACACAGACACACACACACAGACACACTAACACACAGACACAACTAACACACACAGACACAACTAACACACACAGACACAACTAACACACACACAACTAACACACAGACACAACTAACACACACACAACTAACACACACACAGACACAACTAACACACACACAGACACAACTAACACACACAACTAACACACACAACTAACAGACAACTAATACACACACATACAGACACAACTAACACACACACAACTAACACACACACAACTAACAGACAACTAACACACCTAACACACACACAGACACTAACACAGACACTAACACACACACACTAACACACACACAGACACTAACACACACACAGACACAACTAACACACACACATACGCACTATCGTCCCGTGTGTGCGCTCTGGTATTTAACTCCAGACGAGACAACACCTCCTCCGCATCCAACACCGATCACCACCACCACCTCCTCCATCCTTCATTCGCGTGATGAAGATTGACCCAACTATCGTCAGGGTGCACGGTGGCTAGGAGATGTTAGCTACCTCGCCTGGTGTACAGGATTCGATCCCGACCCTGGCGCCTGCTGCTGCTGTATATTTGGTAGTTTGCGTTGTCTCTCTGCCCGTGGTCGCGTGGATTTTTCTCCGGGTCCTCCAGTTTTCTCCACTCTACATTTAGAATTGACATCATCGTGCGTTCAGAGAATTTGTCTGCTGTGAATTTCCACGTGACGATGACAAGCCACTTCGCTGAGCTGTCATTTGTGATAGCCTGGGGTCACTTCTGAAAAAAAGAGCTACATTGCTCGGTGGCCACCTTACCTGGTAAAAATACAAAAAAATTGTTACTGCCGGTCACCGACACGGCCTTACTTGCGAAGACAATCAACAAGGGGTTAAAAAGAAATAGGCTGTATAATACTGGAGGTGTTCAGATGTCCAACCACTTTCAATAGGCACCTTTTGCAAGGCATCACACGTCTGCGCGAACCACACATCATGCTCGTGGTGAAACACGCAAACAAACGTCCTTTGATAAAAGTGTGTGCGCATTGTCCTTGAAACTGATCGACCCACACAGCAGAGACTGCCTCCTTCGTGGCCTCGTCTCCCGACCGGCGTTAGACCGGAGAACTGCGATGCAAATATCAGCAGTTACTACGTCTCTCGGCTTGGTAGGCTTTCGGGCAATAATACAGGAGGAGGAGGTGTTCAAACACAGACAGGTTTGGATATCATTCGCGGCCGTTGTAAGTTAGCCCTTGCCGGGAATCGAACCCATCCGGCAAAACCATCGTGCCACCACCCCGCCGCATTACACTGGGACAAAGACAAAGATCCCCCGTATAGCCTGCAACATACTGTTGGGGCAAGTGCTGTTAGCGAGCACCTATGAAGGCCGGCACGGCACACGAGGGGGTGGGTGGCCAGCAACGCGCCCGGCCACCTTTGTCTCTCTCGCGGCAATGTTTTTACGCACCGCACCGGGTACTCGATTGAGGCCGAGTCGACCTAGGGGAGGCCAAGGACCGGTTCAGATAATCGTCACTGGGTGTTGGCCGTGAGCGGGAATCGAACTCTGGTATAGCAATGTATATACACACACACAGACACACAGATCCTCCCTGTAGCTTGGGATGAGTGCTGTTCGCGATACACACAGACACAGACTCGCGCACACGAACGCGCTTTGGCGCGTGTTTTCGCGTGGCAAAAACAATTAAGTTATTTACGTTTGTTTCTGTCGTTATTATTATCGTTGTTATTACAATTACGCCTTCATTACGACGATTATAATTGTGATTTCTACCTCGCTGTAAAGTGAACAATTGTGGAGAAATGTACATTGGCAGAGAGACAAATCGGGAGTCGTCGTCGTCGTCTCTGAGAGCTCGTGGGTAGCTCTGATTTTCGCGTTCCACTGCGAACATCTTAATTTGTAACGTTGACGTACAGCGTTCACTCTCTCTCTCTCGCTCTGTCTCTCTCTTTCTCGCTCTGTCTGTCTCAAAGACGACAGAGAGG